AAACACATGTCAGGGATAATGAATCTTTTCTGAGACATATATTGATGCCAAGGACCAAGGTTCAATCCAAGAATGAACTGGAGAGAAATAGTCAAATAAGACTCGACTTAGTAAGGGAGTAACTCGACTAAGGAGCGGTTCCATCCAAGTAAAATGAACTGGGAACGAACACTGAAATAAAATTCTTCCAAGAAGAACAAACTTAGTGGGGATAAAATAAAAAGCATTGTATGCTTAGGGGAATACTCTATAATTGGAGATAAGTACACACAATACAAAAATGAGCAACGAATCTAAGTCCGACTATGCATGATATGTATGAATGTTATGATGTGTATGTTAACAAAATAGACACAAAGATTAAATTGACAATAACACTGAAGATTACAAAATCCACAGGCTAAATTGAGGACAAACAAACAAAATACCAAAGTACACCCGGACGCTTGGCTAAATCACACCAAACTGGAGATCATGCCAGAGAGAGAAAGCAACCAACAGAGAAATAACAATCTTGTTACAAGGCTTAACATTGTAGAGAGAGATAAATACTGTATGTACGAGAGGCCATTTTTCTAAAGAATATATTCAAGTGATTAGTTGGATAAGTGATACCTTTATTTTTCAAACCCGGGTTTATAAACTTTTTATGAGATAACCACACCAAGGACCAAACACATATCAAAAGCATTAAGGTTATAAATATTATTCTCCTCAATTACTCTCAATCACATATGTAAGACATGTAATCATCTTTTTTATTTGGTGTCATCGTACTAAGTAGATGAGTGCCAATTTTGAGTAATATATATTCAAGCGGATTACTTGATGTTTCTTGAGAATTTGGCATTACGCTCACAATTCGAGCATTTTCTAAGGTGACAATATTCCAAGGAAGTGTGTATTCTAAAAGAACAAAAGAATTTATTGAACCATTGGTAACTCGTTTGTGCTAGGAAGAAGGACTTCCATTAATTTTATGTGTTAGGTCACACTTGAAAGTAAGAAAAATCAAAAAAGACTAATTTGAACTATCAACTAGTATTATTGATAGTTCATAGTGTATAATAAAAACTTAAAGATACCAAACTTTCTAATTAGTTAATTAGTACTCATTATGTTTCAAAATGACTGTTATTTAAATTTTTTGTACATAAATTAAAAAATATAATGATATTATCATAAAATATTACACTTTTATAAAATTAACTCTATTAATATATTAAAAGTAGTGTAGTGAATAAAAAATAAAAGATATAATTAAAAAAATAATATTTATTATTATATTAAAAAGTAAAAATAATAGTTATTTTAAAATAAAATTTATTTATTAAAATGACAGTCATTTTAAAACGAAAAGAATATCGATAAAAGTGTAATGTAATGTTCAATAAATTCAAAACTAATTTGAAGGGTGTGTGAGGTTGGCAATAATATATGGCCTAAATTTTATTAGTTAAAGTGTGGATCACTACGTAAAACTTTAAATATCTAAAACGTGTTAATTAATGATTTGTAGTAAAATTAAAATTTTAGTCACCAAACTGGTAATTTGAGTAACACAATTCATGGAAGTTTGTCAATTATAGATAAAGCTAATGACATGGAAAGTAGTATTGTTTATCTGCAAATGTGAATAAAACCAATAAACATGCATGAAGACGTAGTAGTTTCACTTTATTAGAGTAATTTCACTTACATACTACTTTTTCTTTGTTATCTTGCATTATTGTAGTGTTTTTGTTTCAAATAAAATAATAATTAATATTAATAAAGAAAACGTAATATTGCAATCTAACTTTTGCAACAACAATATACTTTTCCAATATTGAGACTCTAAGAGCATGATTATCGGTGTTCTTTGAGAGTTTCTACCTATTTATTAAAGAAATTGTGTCAATAATAAATGGATATTTCACTTGTTTTCAAGTTCGTGAACTAAAGCACATCCTCATACTAAAACACGCTTCTAAACTCCAATTAAATGAGTCATGATAATAAATTAATAAATAAAATTGCAAGAATGTAGTTGATTTGTTTTAAATGTGGAATCCATTTTAGATTTTTTGATGAGTTAGATATTTGATAATTATAGATGGGTTGTTTAAAAAATTGAAAAGTGTGAAATAATATAAAAAATTATGTGCGTTCCATTTAAAGAACTCAAATGGGTATTGATGGATGTGGATGCTTTAATATATATTTACGAGACTGATGTGGATCCTCAGTAGCGGTTGTACCGACAACTAAATTTGCAGCGAAATAAGAAACCGTTAGATTGATTAACTAGATTTAATTACAAAATATACAAGAAAACATTAGTCAGTCTGCAATTATTTCCAATCTCAATTATTTTTCATTCTGATATATAGTTTCTTTCTCGTTGCATTAACTTTTTAATTTTTACTTATATGATTTGAGAACGGGTCCGATCTGCTGAGCATACTCGTTTTATCCGCACTTTAATACAGAATAGATTAAGAATTTAAACTCTCACTCTTTAATGTAACCGTCTCACTCCGCCTCATTTTCTTTACGGTTTTTACAGATATAATTATTAATATAAAATTTTATATTTTTAAACTTAAAAGATGCAGTGTCCGCAGATTGTTTCGCACTCATTTTTTGCGAGACGGGTCTAGATTTTGAACTCTCATCCTCAATTAAACCCGCTCTACCGTATTCCATTTTTTACAGACTTTTGCGAAGCAGACTTAAACGAAACGAACGCCTACTTAAAATACATCTATTTATTTTATATCACTTCTTTTTTTTAGATTAAAAGAAAAAAATCTAAAATCAATTAAGACACAAAAAATACACCGACACGTTTATATAAATAATATTGTTTAAAAATAATAAAGTATAATGTAAGTATGTATCACAAAATAATATATGTCGTTGAACACTTATCCTATCAAAATTATTGGTGATACTCACATTATATATTTTATTTATTTTTAAAAAGGTTAAATAAAATTTTAATCTAAATAAATATAAAAAATTTGATTTTACTTTACCACACAATAGTGTCCAAATATATTTATGCTAAAAGTATAATGATTAGATAAAATATAATATAAAATTAAATAAAACAGTAACACACAAATACACTAGAAATCTTTTTAGAAAATAATAAAATATAATAAAATTAATCATTTCAAAATTATATATTAATATATGTTGAACAACAAACAAATAATTTTTTTACTCACAACACATTTTATTATTATTATAAAAAAAAATTTAATTCCGGTTTTGGTCTCCTTATTTTACATGATTCATGAAATTAGTCATTCTATTTTAAATTGAAATAATTTTGATTCCCTTATTTTAGATTTAAATATATTTAGTCTTCTCTCATACTTTTGCATTTAAATTTAATGATATTTACATTTTTTAAATGACAAATTATTTGTAAAACACGATAAATTATTGTATATAAACATAATATTGAATTTTGTAGATAAAAATATAATTTAAAAACAAAAATTCATTGATTTTCTATGAAAAAATGTTAAAGAGAGACTAAAACTGTTTAAATTTAAAATAAGGGAAATAAAATTATTTGAATTTAAAATAGAGAAACTAATTTCGTAAATCAGATAAAATAGGGGGATTAAAATTGTAATTTAACTTAAAAAAATTAAAAAACTTTTAGTATTTTGATATATATATATATATATATATATATATATATATATATATTTGGCAATAAAAGCATTAATTTTATTAAAACCAAAACATATGATACAAATGATCCCTAGGATCCAAAAGAAGCCTAAGCAACTTACATAACTCTTAATTGGCCAACATCAATATGAAAAGCCAATTTTTTAACCAATGTGTATCTAATAACTATACTATATTTGATTCTATCAATTATCCCAGGGTCCACTTCTTTGTTGGCAAACACTTTTCATTCTTGCTTTTTCACACCTCACAAATAATTTCAGCCAAAGCCATTCTCAATAGTTTGCTCCTCTAATTACTATGCTGAGTAATGCTTATCATCCTGTTCACAATAGATCCCCATTGATCCAACAAGTTCATTTCCAACCAAGTCAGAATAGACTTCCAAATCCCGTTTGTATTTTTACATTGGAAGAATATGTTCTCTCTTGTTTCCACTTGACCATAAAAACTACAATCAGTATTTTACAGAAAACCAAACTTCATCAGTCGAGATTTTGTAGGAAGTCGCTCATTTAGAGCCATCCATAAGCAGAATTTTGCACGAGGCTTAGCATGGTTGTCATACAAAATTCTTCTCCAGTTCACTAGAGTTTTCTCCCCTCTAAGGTTCTTGTACATCAAATTAGTTTTATAATCACCTTTATCCTTAGTTTCCTTCCAATAATCCATATCACAAATTGTATCTCTGCATTTTATTATCCTTCTCATCATCCAGGAGCAGCTAGGTTTAGCACTCCAATTCATAACATCTTGGCCCTTGAGATAATAATTGTTAACCCAACTAATCCATAACTTATCTTTTTTTGCTTGAACATTCCACTCTTTAAGATATCTAATATTTAAACCTCCAGCATTCTTAGGATCACAAATGTGATCCCAAGCAATGGGAGATTTCCTGCTAGCACTATCAGACCCACACCACAAGAATCTTCTACAAATAGCTTCAATTTCTTGAATCACTTTTTGGGGAAGAGGGACGATTTGGAGCCAATAGTTAGTTACAACAAAAATAATACTTTTTATCAATTGAATTTTATTTGCATAGCTCAGCAGTCTAGTAGTCCAATGATGTACCCTTTGCACTATCTTGTCAATTAGAGGCCTACACTGGTGGATTGAAATTCTTCTACAAAGAGGGAACCCCAAAATACTTGATTGGTAAATCCACTTTAATGAACCCTGTTTCCCTCTAAATAACCTCTTGCTCATCCTCTTTAACACCCCATAAAAAATCTTACATTTGGTAGGGTGGGCTATCAGACTCATGGCTGCTGAAAATGAGTGAAAAATTCCCATCATAAGCTTTACAGAAATAATGTCACCCCTAGAAAATAACATCAGGTCATCAGCAAATGAGATATGAGTAATCTTCAATTTCCTACACTTAGGGTGAAAATTATAATCAGGAAGATCAACCAGCTTATTTAAGCATCTACTTAAATACTCCATTACTAGCACAAACAGAAAGGGAGATAAGGGGTCTCCATGTTTGAGACCTCTTTTGTCTTTCAAAATATCTGTCATATGATTGTTCATAGAGTACCTATAAGAAACAGTTGAGACACAAACCATAACCCAGGTGATAAACTTTGTAGGAAAATTAAGCTCCTGCATGATATCTCTTAAAGCCTCCCACTCCACTGAGTCATAGGCCTTCTGAATGTCCATTTGAATGACACATCTGGGGGACACATGCTTTCTCCCATACCCTCTCACCAATTTATGAGCCATGATAATATTATCATGTATCATTTTTCCTGGAATAAAAGCAGATTGGTTATCTTTAACAACTTGGTTAATCACCTTACTAAGCCTCATTGTGAGGATCTTAGAGATCACTTTTTAAATAGTAGTACAACAAGCAATTTGCCTCATATATTTGACAGTATTTGCTTCACTATGCTTAGGTATAAGAGTGACAATAACGCAATTCACAACCTCATACATATAGTTGTTATCAAAAAAATCATTTACAATAGCTATAAGATCCTCTTTGATAATCATCCAAGTAGCCTTGAAAAACTTGGCATTAAAACCATCTAAATGAGGGGCCTTTGTGTCTCCAATACTATTTACTACTAGCCATATCTCTTTCTCACAGATAGGATGAATTAAGCTCTTCCTATGAATCTCCTGCAGGTGAGATCCATTTCTCAGGGTAGTTATATCCACATGTAGCACGGATTGAGCCTTGGTACCAACAAGCTTTGTATAAAAGTTTATGACTTCCTTGGCTATACCCTCCACATCAGTCACTTTATCCCCATTCTCATCTTTCACTTAGTGAATACCAATCTGCTTATTTTTCTCCTTGACAGTAGCATGGAAATAACCATTATTGCTATCCCCAAGTTTGAGCCATCTTATCTTAGCTTTTTGTCTAAGGATGTTTTCCTCCATCTATGTTGGATTGAGCAACTCTTTAGTCCATTGATTAACTTCTAGAATGAGATATTGGTTGAGTAAGTCATTGGAAAGCTTCTGCTGAGCTCTGGTCAGCTTGTCTCTATACTCCCGAATCTTCTTTATTTCATTGTTGCATTTTCTATTAAGGCTCCTCATGATTGGTTGAAGTCTTTTTAATTTTCTCCAAAACACATACATATCTCTGCCCTTTATTTGAGGTCTCCAACTATCTTTCACTTTGTTCATAAATTCAGGGTCCTCAATTGTAGAATTGATAAATTTGAATCCCAGTTGATTGTTGCTCACCTGGTATCTATTCTGCCTGAACATGATTCTCAAAGAAGAGTGGTATGAGATATGAGGTTGAAGAATCTCAGCCTCACTATTGGGAAAAATTTGATACCAATCTTCATTACAAATAGCCATATCAATTATAGAATAAATGGTCCCATTCTTCTGTTTATTTAACCAAGTGAAGTGTGATCTAGTTGTGGTGTGTTCAAAAAGACATGCCTCATTCATCATATCTTCCAAATCTGTATACTCACTATACTGAACAAAACTCCCCTCAATCTTGTCTGCCACAGTAAGCACATTATTAAAATCTCCAGTTATAATCCAAGGCCCTTTGATGTTGACAGATAATCTTTTAATGTCATCCCAAAGAGTTCTTCTATTCCCAATCTGATTGTGAGCATATAGCTGTCATCCAAAATTTACACCCTTTCTGATCAGTCACTTCACAATGTATCATCTACTATAAACTCTCAATTTTATTAATCTGCAATTCTGATTTTTTTTCCATAAGACCCAAATCCTACCATTTTGGTGTTGATCATAGTTGTCAATGCAATTCCAATATTGCCCAACAATGTTTTTCCACTTTATTGGCATTATTCTGTTTTACTCTAGTTTCTACCAAAATAATGCATGTCACATTCAATTTTTTGAGATGGGACCAAATCTTAATGTGTCTAGAACTTTTATTGATGCCCCTTGTATTCCAGGTTACTATCATGGTACACCAAATACTTTTGCCTCTGCTCCCTCATCCAATATTGAAAATCCATTACTGCATCTAATTCCCAAATCATGTGGTTGGTACCCTGTTTCTATCACAATACCTTTGTTCTTGTGCTTTGTAGCTCCCACCAGTGTCCATATTTTGTCATATTCACCTATATTTACTCTTTTTTCCTTTGGTGTCACTTTTACCTCCTCTAGGATCTCTATTGTGTTAGTATCTTGTTGTTCTTGTTGTTTTTTGACAGTCCATATTTTATTTATCACTGGCTTTTCTTTTTCACACACATGTCCAACTCTATTACACTTCTTGCAAAATGGAGGTCTCCATTCATACTCAATCCTATGTTAAACTTTTACACTTGTTAGCCCTCTAATATTGATGAAATCCTTCAGTTCTTTTGTAACATCTACTTCAACCAATATTCTAGCATATGATATTCTCAATTTTTTCACCGTGCACTCATCTGTCATAATTGGTCTTCCAATCAGGATAGCAATCTTCTCTTAATTAACTTCTCCCCAAAATAGTATAGTTAGTTGCGGCAGTGTTATCCACATAGGAACCAGCCTCATCATATAATCTTTCATTGGAAAATATGGATTCCATTCATGTAAAAACATGGGTTGTCTGAAAATAGTATAGGGGCCTTTTCTTAACACATGATCTCTATCCCGTTTCGATTTAAACCTAATAATGAAGTATCCCTCATCATTATAATACAAGTCAGGCAGCGCTACAAAATTCCATGTACTAATCATGTATTTCTTAACAACATTCACCGTTAAATCTCTTCCTAGGGTATACATGATTAATCCATTTTCCCATAATTTCCTTTTCGATATTACATCATGTTCCTCAATAATCACTTCCATTTCCCCATCCACTATGGTAGGAGCATGATATTCAAGATCTAATCCATTCGAAGAAAGACAATTACCTCTGACAATATCAACCCACGGTTGTTTTGGCTTGGCTTCATCTTCATCTTCTTCTTCCATCTTTTCCCTTTCCTCTTCTTCAATTGGTTCCAGTGTTTCTGATTGCTTCTCACTCACACACGATGTGAAAGTTGTCACCAGTTGTATAACGATTCCTTGTCCTTCCTTTGTTGCTTCAGGTTCTCCCTTAATTAAGAGTTGTGAGAAAACTCTCACAGTCACGGGTGGTGTTGTCGCCTGTTTCTTCAGCGGCTTTCCACGACGCCCCATGAAAAACGGTGGTCATAGTTGCCGGCAATCACTTCGGAAATCACAACCCTAGTAAAAGATCAGTGATAATTTTATTTTATTATATTATTTATTTGAAATTTATATATTTATTTAGATTAAAAAGTTATTTAACCTTTTTTAGAAATAATAAAATATATTATGTGATGCCATAATATATAATTACATTATATTTTATTTAACTTTTTAAAATTTTATCGGTATAAACGTGTCTGTGTATTTTCCATGTCTTAATTAATTTTATATAGATGAGTAAGTATTGGTTTCCCATATATGAAGGGAACAATTTCAAAAGTCAATACACTACACATCAAAGATATTTACCTCTAAGATTTTTGAGAGACATCTCATTTCTCTTAGACATGTTTCCAGTACGTTGAAATTGGTCTCACCTCTTTATAAACAAGTGCACATCTTTGAAGAGATTAGCCCAATAATTGTCAGCTTGGAGAATCTTCGATATTGTTTTATATGTGCTTGTATGTCCACCATAGGTAGAAGCATGTCAATGTTTCATGACACTATCTGTTCTGGACTGGGCCCGACAGGCCCAAAAGCATTACTAAGGCCCAGTCCAAAGGGACTCACTAAGGACCACACTGGGCAAAGGGGGTCACACCCGTGCCCGACACCCTGACGTCCACCTCGACATCTCGATGTTGAGCCCCACGCGGTGAAGTCGTGCTCGACACCCTGCCGTCCGGCTCTATGTCCTGGCGTCCAGCTCGACACTCGCTGTCCAGCTCGAGGTCCTGGCGCCGAGCTCGGCACCGTGCTGCGCAGCTCGACATGGTCTCGAGCTACCCGGCTAGGGCTGACTCAGTCCACCGTTCCCCCAACGATACTCCGGAAAGACCGCGTCTCCGTCCGCCCGCACTTCACGCAGCACATCCAAGAAGGGGACCACGTGCTGGTCCCCACTACCCACGTAGAACCTGGCAGTTCCTCCATTGGGCCAAATCCGCCCGGCCCAATGAAGGAACCTTGGCCCAGCGCTGGGGGCTATAAATACCCTCTGTTTCCAGAGGGTCAGGTATTGATCATTCTAACCTCAACTCTATTATCTGCTCGTACTCCCACTGACTTTAGCATCGGAGTGCCTTGCAGGTACCCCCCCCCCCTCCTCGTTCAAAAAGCTTTCAGCTCGGAGCAAGCCGTGACGGTCCAAACCTTCTGATCAAGTCAGATCAGTGGCGCCGTCTGTGGGAAGCAGCTTCCCCGTCTAACGAACAATTCCAAAGACCAAAGCTCAATTCAATTACCTGTCATGCCTGATCCAGCTCGTGAAGAACAGCACACCCGCGTCACCGACACCAACAACGGTCCCGCGGACAAGAATGGACACCTCGACAATCTCGGTGATCCCGGCCGCAATGCCACCCCTGCGACAACCGCCCCTGGACCTTCCACCCGCAGGGACGGGAACACAGCGTCTTCCTCGACGACCCCTCCAGCACTCGAAGACGACCCGGAAGCTCTCGCATATCGCCGAGCTGCCCGGTTCCATGAAGTCCAAGTCCCTGCCGGGGCAGATGCCACGACTCAGGCACTGTTCGCGGCCATCAACCAGACAAATTATCTCCTATTCGCCCAAGGAGAAAGACTAAGGGCACTTGAAAATGATCGACGACCCCCGAGGAGACATCAAAGGCCACCATCTCCACCTCCTCGGGTCGAAGAAGTTCGACACCCTACTCCCCCGCGGAGACACTACAGGGAGAATTCTAGGAGCCCCTCTCCCCCACCAAGGCAGAGGCGGCCCCAATATGAAAGACAACCCGTCATCCCTACCGAAGAGCCCAGTCGCGACCCATCGAGGCACGACAGGAGACACAACAGAGACGGGCGTGTGACCTTCAACCATCGAGCATCACGCTCGAGGGAATCTCAGCACGACCATCGTGCCCGACATAACTACAGGACCCCTTCTCTTTCTCCAGAAAGGAGCGACGAGGACGACCCCCGCGGTCCCCTGTCGCAGGCCATCATGGACGCACCTATTCCCCCGGGCATGGAGAAGCCCCCACATCTGAAGGAGTATGATGGAGTAGCAGACCCAGTCGACCACATTGACGGGTTCGAAGCCATGCTCCACTATCACAATGTCGGGGGGCCCATAAAGTGCCGTCTCTTCCCCACAACTCTCAGGAAGGCGGCCATGGACTGGTATAAAGGACTCGCCCCGGGCTCCATTACCTCGTGGCGGAACCTGAAGAACCAGTTCATCAGTTCCTTCACAGCTTCTCGGCGCCACCCGAAGACCGAGGCAGCCCTCGAGGCCATCATCCAAAGACATGATGAGACCTTGAGGGAATTCATCAACCGCTTCAACCGGGAAGCAATACAGGTCCCCTGCGCGGACCATATGAAAAGGTACTTGCTGGAGAGGGGCCTCCTCCCCGGCACAGAATTCAGAAAAGCTGTGGGCATTGAGCCACCTGCAACTTTTGATGCTCTCCTCGACAAAGCCCGAGCATACATGGACTACGAGGAGAGAGAAGCTGCCAACAGGGCACGAGACTCCAGGGCTCGCAATCATAGCAGCAGTTCGAGACAAGACCCTCCTCCCCGACGTACCGGAGAGAAGAGGAAGGAAGATCGACCCCGGGAGGTCCGGGAACAAAGGGGCCCCTCGGGCCGTTTCACCGAGTACACTCCGCTCACGGCTTCCCGCGAGCGTATTCTGGCGGAGTGTGCTAGCACAGATTTTAAAGACGGTGGCGTCAAGCGTCCCTGGCCAGCTCCTGCCAAGCCAGGAGTAGACAAAAACAAGTACTGTCAGTACCATAGGAGTCATGGTCACTTGACAGAGGACTGCGTCCACCTGAAGGATGCCATTGAAACCCTCATCAAAGGAGGGAGGCTTGCACAGTATAGGCGAAACGACGCTCCCCGTCGTGACGCCCGCGAGGCAAAGGAGCCCGAAGAAGATGCCCGACCATCTGACGAGTCGGTGCCAATCCAGACCGCCTTCTCGGTAACCAGGCCCGAGGATTTCGAACTTCCCGAGCTCCTGCAGGAGCCCCTGACGACACACAGCAGGTGGGAATACTTCCCCTCCGCCATGGTCATCAACGGGGGCGGATTCAACGACCTCACCATCAACTCAGCCAAGAGGAAGTTGGACGAACTGGTCGACAAAGCTCCTCCGCAAACTGTGACTTTCGAAATAGTGAAGGGCAGATCAGAGCCCATCACCTTCTACTTGGAAGAGCTCCCCGGCGGAGCACCGAACGCAGTCATCCCCTTGCTGATAAGGGCAAAGATGGCCAATTTTGACGTGCATCGCATCCTGGTCGACGAAGGGAGTTCCGTCGACGTGATGTACACCCAGCTGTTCCGGACCTTACAACTGGATGACTCACATCTGTCTCCGTATATAGGTTCGGACCTTCAAGGCTTCAACGGCTCGACTTCCAAACCTTGGGGATATGTCGAGCTCCTCGTGACGTTCGGGGAAGGAACTGCTACAAGACAGGTGAAGGTCCGCTTCCTCGTCATTGACTGCCCGTCCCTATACAATTGCATCTTGGGGAGGCCGACACTGGCGGAGCTGACAGCGGTTCCCTCAACTGTCCATCTAAAAATGAAGTTCTATACCAAAAGGGCAAGGGTAGCCACCATCCAGGGCGACCTCGCTGCTGCCCGCAGGTGCTTCAACGCCGCTTCAAGGGGACGGGATACCGTCGACGTGGGTACCAGCACCAGACCCATCAAGAAGACAAAGCAAGAGCCCGACAGAGCATCCCCCGAGGTAGAAGTTCAGAAGGCTCCACCAAAGGTCGACTCCATAGCCCTCGACGCCCGTTTCGACCAAGACGAGCCATCCAGCAGCGAGCAAATCCCCCTCCGATCCATTCCGGACGGCGATTTTGAACTCGTTCCCCTCGGAGCAGACCCGACCAAGGGAGTGAAGATTGGCAAAGACCTCCCCGACTTGGCCAGGAAGCAAATCAAGGCCTGTCTGCGCGAGAATGCTGACCTCTTCGCCTGGAGCGCTGCAGAGATGCCCGGACTCGACCCTGAGGTCGCCTGTCATCACCTCGCCATTGATCCAGCCGCCAAGGCCGTAGTACAACGTAGGCGTAGGCAGTCTCCAGAAAAAACGGAGGCTGCTGAAAAAGCTGTAAAAGACCTCCTAGAGGCAAATTTTATTTCTGAAGCCCGGTATTCCACCTGGCTGTCAAATGTTGTACTTGTCAAAAAGAATAATGGAAAATGGAGAATGTGTGTTGACTATACCGACCTCAACCGGGCTTGCCCGAAGGATGCTTTTCCTCTACCTAACATAGATATGTTGGTCGACAATTCGGCCGGCTACAAGACTTTGTCGTTCATGGACGCCTACTCGGGATACAATCAAATCCCAATGGCCCTGGGCGACAAACGCTGCACGGCGTTCATGACCAGCTCGGGCAACTATTACTACAATGTAATGCCCTTCGGACTCAAGAACGCCGGCGCGACGTACCAACGCATGATGAACAAAGTGTTCAACAAACAGATCGGCGACATGCTCGAGGTATATATGGACGACATGATAGTCAAATCTCGAGCAGATACCGATCACGCAGCTCACCTCAAGACAGTCTTCGCCCAAGCAAGACAATGCAAAATGAGGTTCAACCCCGAGAAGTGCACGTTTGGGGTTAAGGCAGGAAAATTCCTCGGATTCTATCTAACAGAACGAGGGATTGAAGCCAACCCCGACAAGTGTCGAGCATTCGCCGACCTCCCGACTCCAATGTCGAAGAAGTCGATACAGATCATGAACGGCATGTTGACGTCACTATCACGCTTCGTCGCGAAGTCCGCTCAACACGCCCTTCCCTTTTTCAAACTCCTTCGAAAGGAAGCAGCCTTCGAATGGACCGAGGAATGCGAACACGCACTCCGCCATCTGAAGCAGAGCCTGTCTCAACCGCCCGTGTTGTCTCGACCAGATGTCGACGAACCACTATACCTATACTTGGCAGTTTCAA